AGAGAGAGAGAGAGAGAGAGAGATAGAGAGAGAGAGAGAGAGAGAGAGAGAGGAGGGGATACAGGGGATATAGTGTAAGAATTACATTTTTAATAGAATTGTTTAAAAGTATTTTTAATTGGACAAAAAGCCTGAAACATCACTGAACTGAGGTCTCAGCTAGCTAACTAAAGAGTCTGGTTGGTATACAGAGTTGACTGCAGTGAATACATGGCACTGAGAGTTGCTCATTTGTATTGGCAGCATGTAATAGTTCAATACTAGAAAACCAGTCAAGCAAAACATACTGTACAGGATGTTGACTGAATGTTGCAAAGATTAAAGCAGATGCCTATGCAAGTGCATATGGGATATTGTTCCAATCACAATATGCAGTGTCCACCAATTAAAGGGTATCTATGGTCAAAAACTAAAAACAAACATGTATTACTATATTGAATTTTAATAATTCAATAATAATGAGTTTTATCCCACTCCCACTAATAACCATAATGCTCTACTTACTTATTAAAGATACCCATAGGATGACATTTCTCAATGCACTGAAATCTCATCTGTAATCTCATCAGATCTCATAAAAAGGCATTTTCCTCCCCTGAGATGATGTACATGGTCACATGTCCTACTCACATGTGCCATAGTTCCAGGAATTAAAGGGAGATCTAATAACATGCCCTTAGTTAAAATGGCCACTGTGAGAAGAATGGGGGGAAAAAGAAAAATAAGGTATGCAAAAAAATTTAAAAAAAGGCAATTTTCTAAAAGTATCTGTTTGTAGATTGCCATTAATAAACATTTATAAAGGTGCCTTTGTTGTTATTTTGAAGATATGAATAATGTTCTTTAGGTCTTTGCAGCAGTTATTATCAAAAAACTTGTAGCAATCCTGGATATGGTATTTAATTATGCTGACTGTATAGAGAAGAAAACCACCATAGGTTGGTTTTCTTCCATATAACATCAGCACAATTACATACCAAATCAACCCAGAGGTTTTTTTTTTTCTTGTTTTTTTTTTGAAAGAGTAGGGGAGAGTTGAACATCTGTGAGGATGTTACTGCAGTTTCTAACCTACTAGGTATACATTCCCTTACTTCCTGTCCTAGATAACTTAGGGGGTTATTCACAAAGGAGCTGAAGGATCCAGTCGTAGCTTCAGCTGATCCCTCGGCTCTCTTCGGCCGACTGACCCCTTCGGTTAAGTCGAATCGAAGGGCTGCTGTACGGGCTATTTACTATAGCCTGTACAGCAGCCATAGGAGGCTGAATGGCTCAACTGAGCCGAAGGCATATGCTTCGACTCGACTGAGCCGAAGTGACACCCAAAGCGGGGCGTCCTTCCCCTCCCCCAGCTCGTGCGCAGCAGCATGTAAACAGCCATCACCCGTACCTCGTTGCCGCCGCCACTGCCGGTTCCGAGATCCGCTGTGCCCGGTGCGGCTGGGACCAGCACGGCGACGCTCTCAGTTGAGATCAAAGGAAGATTAGTACACGATCTCCCTTTGATCTCTTCTCCTGTCCCCGAATGCAGGAAGTGATGTACATTACATCACTTCCTGCATTTAGTGTCACTCTCTGGTACAAAACACCGGTGAGAAGCTGGTGAAGCAGATCTCTGTTTCATCAGCTTCTCTGGGGGTCCCCAGGTGACATTAGGGGTCTTAGAGACCCCTGATGTCTCCATAAAGAGGACCTGTCATGTGAATTGGCTATCCCGTCTTTTATATTTTACCAGAAAATTGGGGTAATAATAATAAATGTATCACAACGTTTCATACAGAAACAGTTTTGTTTTTTTTACAAAATTTAGGGTACTTTTTTTTGTTATATAGTAAAAAAGAAAAACCGCAGTGGTGATTAAATACCACCAAAAGAAAGCTCTATCTGTCCCCAAAAAATCATATAACATTTGTTTCAGTACAGCGTTGCATGCCAGAATAAACGTCACTCAATCAAGCATAGATACTCTGGCACACTGGGGATGATTTGCTAAATGCAAATAGGCTGTTTACTTTCATGGGAATTTGCATTTTGCAATGGAAGCTTCCCTAAGTTTAGTGAATGTGGTAACATTTTACTTTGGAAATAATACCCAATCATGTGCAAGTAAAACGTAAAAAAACTGTATATTTCTTTGCACTAATTGGATGAAGGAAGTCACCAGAGCTTCACATCGTTCACAAAACTAAGGGGAAATTCCCTAAAAAGTATACATTCAATTGCAAAGTGAACAGCCTATTTAGCTTTACTAAACACCTCTGTGTTGCCATCAGGTAATTGACGGTTATGATTGAGGCATAGGATATGATATACTAAAGACAATTAGGTTGACTACCTTCACCTAATCACAGGGTACAGGCATGATCATAAAGCAAACTCTCATACAAGAACAAACCTAACACAT